CTTCTCAAGGATCTGCCACCTCAGTCATCAGGACTCTTCTGATTGCCGAAGAGAGTTACTTAACTCAGATAAAAATTAAGATAAACGTTTCTTTATTGAGGTGACTGAAAAAGTCAAGAAGTGCTTCAGGCACAGCTGGATTTAGGGGCTCAAAAGCTATCGCAAAAGACTTGGTCTCAGCCTGACCCTCTTCTGGAAGGGGCAGTCTCCAGTCTCAGCAGATTACCTCCATCTGGTGGGCTCCCCTCAGCCCCACAGTTACCAATTCTGGAAGACATTCCTGTTTCTCAGTATTTTCCCTGAAGTCCCAAAGTTGAATCTTAATGGCCTGAATTGGATCACTTGCCCCTCCCCTTGACCAATTATTGCTGACAGGAAGAAGAAATATGCTAATTAATCGGATATGGGTCACAGGTCCATCCTGGAGCCTGCCCTGAGAGAATCATATGCAGGTGGTTCCCAAAGGAAAACCTAGGTGCTGCCAACAGACAGGGGTTGAAGGGAGGTGGGTAAGCCACACAGCATGTCAACCACACACACTCGTTTCAGACTTTCTTCAGCTTGTGGAGACTGAGGTATGCTGGAAGATGCTGGACATCACCTGATCTTTTCTTCAGTGTAAATCTTGTCTCCCCTGTCACTCTGTGAGCTCCTTCAGGGGGACAAGGGTCTTGGGTTGCTTTTGGGTCCCCCTGGGCACCCGGGTCCTCCAGAGCATGCTGCAGGCATTCATTCCTGTGTGTGGACTGTTATTAGGAGGTGAGGGATGCCACTTCTAGACATTTGAAACCCTTTCCTCTAGATGAGAGCATTGGAATTCACAAGATCTAAAGTTAGGAGCCATTCTGCAACATTTTAGTTCCAAGATGAAAATGGCCAGGAATTAATTGACAAACGCTCAGGGCAGCCTCTCCCTATTTTTAGTTCAGATACTTATAGGATGACAACTGAGTGCATGCACACCCGCTGCCCACACTGGAACCACACAGCCAGATTCTGCCCAAATAAGGGTGCTAAGGAGTGCCAATCCCTTTCGAGGGTGGGCCCAACAGATGTTGTGGACAGCACAGGAGGTCTGAATGTCAGGGATGGGCCTCAGAGGGTCAGATTCCAACTAAGATGGGTCAAGGCCATGCTACGCCTTCAGCTCACCCTCCTGGAGCAGCCCTGCTGCTGTCTCCCTCTGTTGGTTGCCCTCTCAGTACTGAAGGAGTGGGACCCAGGGAGCTGCCAGGCCTCAGGGCCATTTACTCTTTTAGGAGGCTCCTTCCTGTTGGGAAACCACTTACAGAGAGCAGTCTGTGCTCTGGAGGACTATGGAGGGAGGGGCTGTTGAGAGGGGGCTGAGAACCAGCTATTTTGTTAGGGAGGGATGAAGTACCAGGTCATCTGGCAACAGCATGTCCAATGGGCATGAGGAGGAAGAGAGACCCTAGACTCAGAGCCATAAGTGGTTTTGTGCACCTTAGAGAAAGGCACCATCCTCTGGGCAGATGTAGCCTCAGGTTTGTGCTTGGTGAGAGCTCCTGGGTGCAGGGACCGACCTGGGCTCATGCAGAGGCTGTATGGGTGAAACTGCCCTGTAACCTCAGCAGGCCATCTAGGGGCAGTCCCCAGCTCTGTACTCCAGGCAGCAGCAAGGGCAGTGCTCAGGAGCCTCTGCTCCTGCCCTCTGCACCCAACTCAGTGTGGAGAGTCTGAGGAGTGTTGGTGGTCAGTTTAGGTTTGGCCAGCACTGCGCCTCCTACTGCCCTGTGCATCTACGAGTCAGCAGAGTCCCTGCGTGTCCCTAGGACATCCAGCTCCTGCTCAGCCCCCTTGGACTCTCCCCTGGGTTTGAGAACCTGTCCTCGAATGCTATGCTCCCTCTTCCTGTTTGCAGAAGAACCCAGAGAATTCCAGCAGAGAAAGTGCAGTGGCTTCCGGTTTCCCCCTGGGTCTCTCACAGATCTGAACTCAGAGCACTGGAAGGCCTCTGGCTGTGTTCACAGACCAACCCTGCTAGAGCCATCCATCCTCCAGCTACTTTGCAGAACCAAGTAAAATCAGCGCTGGGGACTTGCAGGGGCCTCCCTCAGCTCATGACCCTGGCAGGAGACTGGGGTGGGGTTGGCTGGTTAGTATGCTCATGACGGATCCTCACTCAGGGGCTCCTTAGAGCTCAGAGCAGACTCAGAGTGCAGGGGTGGGGGAGGGCTGCATGGAGGGATTTCCCTCCCTGAGGAGGGGAAAGGCTGCCGCCGAGTGGCCATGGGCTGGCTAGCAGGAATTCCTGGGAGGGGATGTGGCCTGATTTTGGTAAGTGCACAGTGTTGTCCTTCACCAAGGGTTGTCTGTCTGCAGGTATCTGAGCAGAGGCCCCATAGAGGGAATTACTCAGTCCCTGAAGAAGGAGAGCCTGGAGGGCCTGTTGGGGGCCGAGAAATAGGAGTCGCTGGGGCAGACACAGGATGGAGCATGGAGGGTGGTGCCTAAGGTCTCTGACCCTGTGTTGAGGGGTGAGGAGTAGGGACTGAACTGAGCCCCAGCCACGGACCTCCTGCCAGGGAGGGACAGGAGCTGAGATTTCAGGACTACGCATTTGGTGGGCAAGGAGGGGTGTTGGGCAGCCTGATGCTGTCAGGAGCACAGGGACAAGCCTTTCTGACACTAGATATTCCTTCTCCTCTCTCTTCCTCGCCCCTCCTGTCAATCGTCTGAACTTCTCAGGTGCAGCCTCCATGCGTGTCCCTGTGTGTGTCTGTCTCTGTGTTTCTCTCTGTGTGTGTCTCTCTCTATCTCTCTATGTCCCTGGGCCTTTCCATCTCACCCATCCTGGTCTGTATCCTTTCTTTTTTCTCTGTTCAAGATTTACCTTGAGCTTGTATGAAATTTTTATGCTGCATGCTCTACCTGGAGAGCGATGGTGGGAAACAGGAAAGATGTCTGTATGTGAGAGGGCCAAGGGAGGGCTGTCCCTTAGTGAGTCTGGCCTCACCTACTGATGCCCTTCCTGCCCTCTGTCCAGTAAAGGCAAAGAGAGGCCAGACTGATGTCAGGAAAGGAGCCAGGGTGAGTGTGCAGCACATGTAGCTCTGGCTTTGGGATTGGTCTGGGAGTCAGCTCCCAGCTGCAGCCGCTTTGTTTAGTCAACTCAGTTCGACCATGTGCAAAACACAAGACTTTGTCCCATCCTTGAAAAGGTTTCCAACCTAACTGGACCAACAGGATTGATGGAAAGAAACAATGAAACTCAGTGGGGGCTTCAGAGAACTGACAAATCTAGGGTCGTATTGTTCATGGAGGTGTCTATGGTGTGTGTGTGTGTGTGTGAGGGGATGGGCCCCACGTGAGGGCGTGCATTCCCCAGCAAAGAGAGGAGTCACTGAATTTCCAAAAGGGCTTGTGATCACCAAGGCTGTGTATTTTTACTTCAGAATCCCCCAGCTTTATCCATTTACCAAGTGAAGCCACCAGAAAAATCCTAAACTCCATTACAATGGTTCCTTTCTTACCCAAAGCACACAGGGTGAAGATGTCCCCTGTGGAGTGTCAATCCAACACATATGTCACCCTGGGCAGCACTGAGTGTGGTCAGCACACGTGACCATGTGGAAAATGTCCTTGCTGTTTTCATGCCCCAGCCATCGTTCAGTCTTCATGAGGTCAGCACTGGGGAGATGACCTCTCTTGGAGCTTAGCTTGGAAAGATCTGGTCCCTCCCAACAAAGTCACCTGCTCCCTTTTCTGAGAAACAAGGCTCGTGGCACTTCCTGCTCCTGCCTTTGCCTGAAAGCTTGAATCTGAGCATCAGGCTTGGGCCTCACCATACACCCACCCCCTATTCAAGTCCCCTCCAGCTCTTGGCCTTGGTGGTTTGGGTGTCGTTCTGTTAGCTCCCTGGGACTTGTGCTTGCAGGGCCTCCCTGGAGTTCAGACCCTGGCCCTGCCACTTTCTTCTTCCCCTGGTCCTTGGGCACACCCTCAAGTCCTCCCGGCCTCCCATTCCTCATCAATTAATTGGTGATGATAATAGCACCTATCTCACAGATTTGTTGCTGTGAGTATTAAATGTATTAATGCAAGTGCTGCACCAATATCTGCCTCAAAGTAAGTGGCCAATTAATGTGCGCTTCCTCTCCAAAGCCCACAGCTCTGCCTCTGCTCTTCCCGGGCCTGTCTGCAGGGACCACAGTCCCAGCTGTGAGCCATGTCTCCTGTCTTAAGGGTTCAGACCCTGGCTAGAAGACTGAGACACCTCTGCAGCATGCTCTATTACATAATTCATTCATTTATTCATTCAGCAAATGTATTAACACTCCTATATGCTAGGTGCTGTGTCAAATGCTGTGGGAAGAATACCCCACAGGGCACTGTACAGCCCAGTGAGAGACCAGCCAGAAGACATAGTTAGTGGGTTAATAGCTGCAAAGCTCTTAGGATGGTGCCTGGCACACAGCAGTGCCACATGAGTTGTTAAGTAAATCATGTGGTCAGTTATGATGGGTGAGTACAACTGCTGTGGAGCATGTAGAGGGGACAGCTAAGCCACGTGTAGGGGGTAAGGAACATGGAACCAAGACCAGGTGATGGAGGAGAGGGGAGAAGATAGGGCCAGGCAGGGGACCCAGGAGCAGCAAATCCCCAGCCTGTGTTAGGAACCAGAAGCAGTTCAGCCTGAATGGAATGAGAGGGCTTGTGGAAGTAACAAAGAAAGCTGGAGAAGCAGGCAAGGGTCAGAGTGTATGTCTGGGAAACTGTGTCAAAGAGCTGGTTTAATTGAACGTGATAGAATCTCTCTCCTGGTCTGGGTTTGAGGAGGCCTCTAACATCCCAGCAAGGCTCCCAGACACTCAGTGCTCCTGAGGGTAGTGGCCAAGCAGGAGCGGTACCTCTGGCAGGTTTTCCCAGGTGTGAGGGAGTGGGTGGTTGGAGACAGTGTTTGGCCCTCGACATCTGCCTGGCCTGATCACAGCCAAGAGTTCTGTTCTAACCAGACTCTGGGTTTTTGTTTTTTGCAGATGTTGGAGGAGCTCAAGTGTCGGCAACAGGCAAGCCTGCTGGGACTGAAATAGGTAGGTCACTGCCCAGCTCAGTCTGTATGGGAGGCAATGGGCCAGAAGGAGGCAGGCCAAAAGGCCTGGGCGGGGGTGAGAGGGCATCCTGATTTTGGTTTCTTACTGGTCATCACAGAATAAGGACAACATTCACCTCCAGGTCTGCCTGAGTGGCTAACAGCATTATCCCAGAGACGTAGTCCTGCCCAAGAGCCTGTCCTCAAAAGGGCCATAGTCACCAGGACCACCGTTGTCCCTGCTCTGTGAGATGAGCAGCCCCCGTGCCCACCTGCCCTGCACTGCAGCCGTGATCCCCAGACATGGGCTCTGCAGTGCTTCTGCGCCCTCACCAGTGATCGTCTTCCACCAGGACGATTCCAGCTCCTCTTTACCTGAGAGCTCACCTCTTAGGGCAAGGTGCAATTTCCCTCCTATTGGAAAGCTGCTGACCCCCATGTTAGGCCAGCCAGCCTGCTCCTGATACCTGACATTAGAGTGAGCCCTAACCGCATGGTCCCCAAGACGCAGCCAGGTCTCCTTCATTTGCCTTCAGAGCAGGCAATTGACACATACTTGAGAAATGAATTCATGAAGGGATAAGTGAGGAAGGCCTATAGGAGGCCAGAGAAAACCATCAGCCACCTGGGAATGACTTCCACAGCTGAAGGGACCAAGAATGGAGTTCCAGGAAGAGGGAAAGAGGTACTGGTGAATGAGGCTGGGATACCAATGTGCCCCCAGGAGAATGGGAAAGTAGGTTGGCCTCAGTGGGTCAGTGCGGAATTTTAGTCCCATGCCCACGACTTTGGATTTTAGCCTGAATATAAAGGGAGCAACAACCTTTGCAGGGTGGTGATCGATCGAAGGCCATTGTTTAATTTGTCCTTACACTTCAGATATCAAATACGCCATCATCGGGACAGCTCTGGGTGTCGCCATATCGGCCGGCTTCCTGGCCCTGAAGATCTGCATGATCAAAAAGCACTTGTTTGATAATGATTCCTCAGACCTAAGAAGCACAAACCAGGGATTCAGTGGTAAGGGGACACTGACACTTAGCCTAGCCCTTCCCTTGACAAGGCACTGAAGGCTACTCCAGGACGCCAGCTGGAGAAAGAATGAAAACCGTGGGCTGAAAAGAAGCTCAGTGACCTCCTTGTGTCTCTGTCTCTGTCTCTCTGTACTTTTCCATTTAGTCACTTTTGATTTTCCTAAGAATCGGGTTTCCTGGAGAAAGGTGGGCAAGGGAGCTGAGTTGGCTTCAGATAGAAATTTCTATTTTCATCCAAATAGTGTGATCAGATAAAATTGATCCCTGGAGGTGATGAGGGTGGTCCTAGCATGGGTGGGTGGTGGAAGGTGCTACCAGCACAAATTATGTGGGCCGAATTGCATTTTTTTTCTTCATAAGTTGGGAAAGTCCTCATGATCCAGGCAGAGCTGAGCTTACACGAACCCCACCTGATTCTCAGTGTCCTGTGGCACCTGCAGGGTGGCACATCCAAGCAGATGCTGACCTGTCAGTTTGTGAGTTTTGACAGCAAAATGCAACAGGGATTTGCACCCTTTCTTTCAAGGAGGGAGGTGCAGGAACCATCCGGTATAAGACTGCTTAATGGGATGACAGTGCCGTTTTCCATGAGGTTTTTTCTGTGGATGAAGAGGAAGGCAACTCACAGTATCTCTGGAAAAGTCCATGATTATCTGTGAAGATATGCGGAGAGCATGGGGGAGGGGTGGTCTGGCCCAGGAAGAGGGGGAGCAGCAGCACTCCAGGGCTTCCTGAGCTTCCACATGTACAATTGCATGAAGGGCTTAATTAGTCATAGGAGTTTGTGTGTCACTGATTTTGTATCCCTGCAAAAAAGGAGGGAGAGCAAATGGCCTCAGGAGACATGCCCATTCTCCTGAGGACCAAAGGGCGCAGGAGCTGCATGTGCAGGGGACGGTGGGAAGCTGCAGGGGAAGCTCGGTCCCACCTGTGTGCTGAGTTAAGGGGCCCAGTGACAGGATCTAGATAGAGAAGCTCTGACAGTGCTGAAAGCAGGGGCAGAGCACTCAGCCCCAAATCACCGCCCCCCAATCCAGGGATCCCCGCACCCTTCCCAAGGTCGGTTGGCTCTGACCCCCTCACCCTTGCCTGGCACTAAGCGAACTGCACACCAACTATAGTGCCTCGCTCCTAATGCCCGGCTCTCTCTGTTTAGATACCATCGCTCTAAGGAAGAAAGCCCCAAGGTGAGGTCGCTGCTCACTATCATGCCCCTGCTGCTTTATCCGTTCTGCTCCCTTGCCTGTCATCCTAACCCTTTTATCCACTCTGAAATGCTGCCTAGGGGACAGGAATGCACCCATGGCCCCTCACCCACTCTCTGCTCCTTAGGACCAGTGGGCAGGTGTCATAAGAGGAGCGGGGTGGCACAGGGCATAGTGGCCAAAGGGACTTGGGCTTACTTCTGTGCACCCTAGGGGGGGTGAGGCACCCTGGGTGTGTGGCTGCAGACTAAGTGGCCAGCTCTGGCCTTGTCTCAGGACGATAGTGGTCAGATGGAGATTTTGGCCTGGTGATCTTACACCAGCCATGGATGAGCAATGCTCCCTTGGCCAGCCAAACTGCCCACACGCACCGTGGGCACTTTGAGATAAGGTACTTGGTTTTGGAACTCCAGTGCCCCTGGAAGTCTCCAGAGCTTGTTGCAGCCTCTGTTTCAGGGACACCTAAGTACCTGGATTAACAAAACTGAAAGATTTCACAAAGCCCAATTTTTCATCCTGGAGCATGCCAGTGGGATGAGGGGCTGGGAAAGACTGTGATGATGCGTAACGAATGACAGCCACACATATGTGTGAGAAGATGCTGCTGTGGACAGCACAGCACAAACAGGAAGTCACTGTGGTTTTAGGTTGCTATGTATCACATCAGAGGATCACCTCAGTTTTGTGTGTATTGGAAGTTCTGGATTATTCTGACACATCAGAGCTATAGGAAGAATATCCACTGTCCAGGCGAGGTGACTGCAAGTAGTCATTCAACAGTAAACACTGTGAAAGTGAAGTACAGGAGGAAGATGTTAGAGGAGCAGGAGGAAGGCAGGTGGGTGATGGAAGGGAAGGAAGAAATGAAGGACAAGGGAGAGGGGGCTGGCTGGGAGCTTTGCCCTGGGATATATCCCCCACCTTGTGCCGGGAACTGCTCTTGGAACTGGCCAGATGGCAGCTTCATTACAAATGGAGGGATTTTCAAAGAGAAGGGAAGTGCAATTCAAGTTTCTGAAACTAACACTAGATGGAGTCAGGCCGAGTTAAGAAGAAGTTAGACTTGAAAGAAAAAGCGAAGGACAAGCCAGCCGTTCTCCTGTAGCAAAACTTCCCACGTGCTTTCTGTCACCTAGGAATGAGTTAATAAACATCCTATTCTCCTGTTTTGCAGGTTAAACCTCAACTTCTCCGAAAGGTGAGTTGCAAGGAGGAAAGGCAGTCCCTGTCCTGTGGTGGCTGGCGGCCCTCTTGCACGCCCCAACACAGGAAGGATGGGGATTGCTAGCCATGGGCCACAAATCCCTGTGACACCAGGAATCAGCATCTCTTTAGGGCATTTGCCTGATAAGAGCCGAGAAAATTGGGTTTTAACAGAAGATGGTTAATTATTTTTTTCATTTACCAAGACCTCTTAACAGAGGCCAATCAAACCATTAGCCAACTTACCGTATTTGTCGGCGTATAAGACGATTTTTTTGGCCCTGAAAAATATGCCTCCAAGTAGGGGGTCATCTTATACGCCAGGTACACTTCAGATAGACTGCCCATAGTGCTTGCCCCGTGCCATAGTGGCCTCCCGATGCCCGCCCACTTCATTCCACATACTGT